ATATCAGAAACCTAAAATATATGAAAAACTTCCATTCCATTTAGGGTGGTCCCTGTAAAAAATCCACTTTGTCTTGTTTTGTTCTCCAGGTTGAGAAGAAACTGGGATCTTTCTAACAAGAGTGGGAGGTGGAAGACAGGTTAAAGTCATGGCAGTTGGGTGGAGACCGGCCACCCTTCTCCTTGTCTTCATCCTGACGTTCCTCTGCCCCTCGGATGGAACCATGCACCTCTCTGGCGGCCAGAGACTGCGGTCTCGTCTTCAGAGGGATCGCCGAAACGTTCGTCCAAACATTATTCTCATTCTTACTGATGACCAGGACATTGAACTCGGTGCGTTGCCCATCTGCGTTTCTCTGTATGTGGGTGTGTTTTTGTGTTTGATTGTGAGTATGTGCATACTGTGACATCATGTATGAATTAATATTCACAATTCATTATCATATCATTTTATTATTTTCTTAGCATAAGGGCATCTTACACACTCAGTCCAGTAGCATCGGCCAACTGCTGAGGTCCACTGTGCCAAACATGCTGTTTTTCTACTCGTTTTTTGGCACTTTAATCACTGAAGTGGCAACATAATGGCCTTGCTGCTGGTCTTTGTTCAGGTTTTTCATTCAAACCCTTTTAGGGAGGAAATTTATGGTCAAGCATCTGTTACATAAAACAATCTGGATCTCTGTCTCCCTCTTTTTTCGAATCTACATGTATTCCCCGTTTTTCCCCAAAGGCTCAATGCAGTCCATGAACAAAACAAAGCGCATAATGATGCAGGGAGGCACTCACTTCTCCAATGCATTTGCCACCACTCCGATGTGCTGCCCTTCTCGATCATCCATCCTGACTGGGAAATATGTGCACAACCACCATACCTACACCAACAATGAGAACTGCTCATCACCGTCCTGGCAGGCCCACCATGAACCTCACACTTTTGCTGTTCACCTCAACAATTCAGGCTACAGGACTGGTTAGTAGGCAGCACGTATTTATTTTTTTCAACACTGAACTGCATTCACAAACTCTTTCGGTTAAAGCATTTGTTAATCCAAAAATTTAATTTGCTGGAATTTTACTGACTCTTTGGCAATCCAAGATGCAAATGAGTTTTCTTCATCAGAACAGATGTGGAGTAATGTATCATTACATCACTTACTCAGCAATGAATCCTCTGCAGTGAATAGGTGCCGTCAGAATCCAAAGAGCTGATTAAAAATATCTTACTTGTACAAAATTAATCCACATAACTCCAGTCCATCATTTAATGTCTTGTCAAACAAAAAGCTGTGTTTATAAGAAATAAATCCATCATTATGGCATTTTAAATTTAAACAGTTGCTTCTGGCCAAAATACCTAATTCATAACGCCTTCTACAATGAAAAATACCTATTTGCTTAGAACTGTTTTGCACTGTTTTCGCTTGTAAACATTGCTTAATTGGTGAATATTTCTCTCCTGATTCAGACAAACTGACCTTTTCATTGGAGAAAGCTGTATTTTGGATAACAAACTCATATTTTAGCCAGAAGCAACAGTTTGAAGTTAAATATTTCTTAATGATAGATTTGTTTATTACAAACATGTAGCTTTTCACTTCATAAGCTATTAATTGAGGAATTGGTGTCGAGTGGATTACTCGTAGAGTTTTTAACAGCTGTTTGGACTCTCATTCTGACGGCACCCATTCA